CCCCCCCCCCCCCCCCTCCCTGCTGTCATGCCACCCTTTCTCCAGCATGACCAAACCACTGGAGTTGTCACACTCAGGCAACCACCGTGCAACCAAAAAATGCCATCATTGGCTGCAGCATGCGGCCACATGCGCTGCCTTTCTCTTTAACATCAACCATGTGGTGAGCAGTAACCACACAGTGAATAGTAACCGCAATCCTGGGGCTTTTATTTACTACTCCATCGTGTCTCTCTGATCGACTGTGCGCCACAACTTCCAGCAAGGGGAATCACCAACACACTGACGATCAGTTCTGTCAAAGAACCATCACTCTTCGATGTGCATTGTTCACTGTGTATTTCACGAGTAAATAGTACCAGCAAGATGAACCGAACTGCACCTCAAAGCTTCCATTTGCCATTCAACCGTGCCTCTGATCGACGGTGTGCCATCACTATCGGCAAGGGGAGTCTCCAGTGACCTATTCTGTCTAAGAATGGCCATTATTTGCTGCCTCAAGCTGCCACACTCCAGTGCATAATGTTCATGCGCCCGATGCAAAAGTGCATTTTTGCATGTTTCTGTTGCCAAGTACAATGTCCTTCTTCAACTCTCTCAACAACTTTTTTGCCAGCTCCTCTCCACGAACAAGGTCCCCCATTGACAACCTCGACACCGATCAGTATGTCGCCAACCACTACCCCCGTGCCTCCACTTACCAGCTTGTGAACTTCACGTGCATGCATCCAAACAACTTTTTTCTCCAGTGGCTATGGGTGAACAGTTATTGCAACCACTGTGCCACTATTTGCTGCTTTGTCATGCCTTCGATTGCCAGAATGACCCTCCGACCAGCAAGGCCTGCCTCTGGTGACTAGTTCTATCCAACTCATGTAGCTCACTTGATCACCCAAGCCAATGATGTCCCCACCATGGAAGAGTTTATTGGCAGCAAGTTGATGCTTCCTTGTAACAAGCTCGGCTCTTATGACATGTACACTCTAACTTGAGGGCAAGTGTTAAATATATGAATTTAATAAGACATATATGTTGTCCATGGATGTTGAGTACACGAACTCATCTGAACTATGCGTGTAATGCAATATTTTAAAGGACTTATCCGCAGGCTTCTACACTAGTCCCCTAGTATAAAACAAGATTTTCTTAGTACTAAATTGAGGACAAAACTAGGAAATTCTTACAATAAACCCTCACAATCCTTATCGCTATCGCTGTATTGCGCTTTCAAGCCTCGTGCGTGTCCGTTATTCATGAGTGTTCTAGAGATCTCGCCAAGATTCCATACAAGCGGCCCCACTTGACACTCATAGGTGATTTCATCAAGTGTATGCTGCAAATTATACATCACCCATTAGGGATATGAAAATCATTAAAATGTTTATAAGATGTCAAACTTTTTCATAATCTTATCATCTCCTTAATACAACTTTAGCACTTTCTCACACCATAAGTAGTGATTAAAAAATTAAAATTGATTAAAATCAATGTTAATGCTAACAAAACTAACAAGTGACTTGTTTTCCTCATTGAATAATAGGCATCTTCTTCAAGGATCTCCAATCACAAAAGTTGGATTATCATCATTGTTTCTTTCAAATAACTTCAATAAAATCTCACTCCCCTTGATGTTTATAAATAACTCTTGATGTTTCATAAATAATATCTTCCCTAGGGGTTCAAAGTCAAAAGGATTGGCCAAATCCATTATTGATTACACATAATAATTTTCAATCTTTTTAACCAATTGCTATATAACATCATTTCTTAATTTTGTATTCCCAATGATATATCATGATATATAAAATTCACATATGAAGAACGCTACATTTGACACTATAAATTAAAATTACTCAAAATTGTTAACAATTTACATGGATGTGATAAATGACAATTACTTTTAAGAATTAAACTTAAAGAATTCACATAGCATATACCACAAAGGTATCAACATATTTTATCTATATTAAGTTTAGGGTGGGTCTCATCTCATTCATGAGAACTAGTATATCATAATAATTAATTCTTTTCCCTACGGAGAGAATCTCAAGAATTAATTGCCTACATATTTTTATATGATGCCTCGCAATTATTCTTCTCACCCCTCCATCACTCCTCATTTTTTTTCTCTTAACTTTAAATATAAAGTCACTCATAGATGTTCCCAAATTCCAATCTATCAACCCATTTTTTTCCTTTTATATTTAAGTAATGCAGCAAACTCCTCTTCTTTTTTTTTTTCTCTTAAATTAACTTTAGATATAAAGTCACTCATAGATGTTCCAAAATTCCAATCTCTCAACAATATACACAGTGCAAGAAATTTTAAAAGAAAACGCATACCTACATAGTTATGCTTTTGACTTCTCATTGGCATCAACCCATTTTTTTTTCTTTTATATTTAATTAATACCACAAATTCAAACCATAGGCATATCAAATTGACCATTTAAAGGAATAACGGTTAACCATCCTAAGTGTAACTTGGGGTTGCCTTCTTTGCAAGCTGACACGTCCTCTTCCTTTCGTTTCTTGGCACCATTCTCCATTTCTCTCTTGTTCCCATGAATGCTCATAAGCTTGGAAGGACACATGCCGTTCAAGTCTCCCATGCACCCCATGCTTGTGCACTTCTTGCCAGAGCCGCCTTGAGGAACCACCAACGTCGACAGCGAGCATGACTTGCCTCGATAAATGTGTCAAAACTTCTCCGCTATGTACATCCTTCATGATCATCATTTGCACGACAACTCTACCGAATAGTCCAACCATGAGGTGCCACCATCACTGTCATCCAACCAACATTCCCTCGTTCTTTGAATCAAAAACTGCTTGTGCTAACTCATGCCCAAGTTTCTGTAAGCAACTTGGCTCTAGCCAAAGAATTGGGACTACAATGGACAAATAAGTCCTTTAGATTGTTGTCTATGGATGTTGAGTACACAAATTGATCTGAACTCAAGAGGCATGCAATGCACTATTCTAAAGGACTAATGCATAGACTCTCACCAAGATACTATAGAATATTGTCCCTCGACCTCACCACCAATTTCTACTTAGCAAATTGATGTTTCTTGATTAGCCGTATCAATTTGAGGGGGGATGTTCAACAGAGAATCTATCATTAATTTTTCTTTCTATTATATAGGTTGAATATTAGAAATAATATAGGCCGTTATTATTCTTTCCAAATAATTGTATTATGAATTTAGTTATCCGTCTTAATTAGCAATTATGGGCTATGAATCATCTTGTAATATTTATAGGAAAAAAAAATATCGAGAGAAAGCAACAAGCAAAAAATTATTAACAATTAGCACCTATGTTTGTTTGTTGTTCTTCAATAGAGGTTGGAGGCAATGGAACTCTTTTCTTTGAAATCTCTGTTTTCAATGATGCCTCCTTTTTCAACTTTTTCAACTCAATAAGTGTTTTAGGAGTTATCTTTGAACAATGTCTAACACCAAATCTTGAGAATTTTAGCAAGTGAGCCTTTACTCAAGTGTTAGTTCCATTGGATAGAACTTCACAAAAGTTGCACTTGATCTGAAAGTTTCCACCTCTAGAAACCTTTCTTAATTTTGTAACATAATAACATAAAGGTTTGGTTTCATCCTCTTTTTTTTGTATTCGTCTCTACAATAAAAATAAAATAAAAAAATGAAAAAAAGTAGCATTTGTGCTCTTAAATTATAAAAAAAAAATGGAAAAGTAGATATATAAAAATAATAGATCATCAGATTAGTTTCATAGTCTGTAATTATTAAAAAAAACAAAACAAAACAAAAACAGAGATGCAAAAATAATAGAGCATCACATATTGGTTTCATGCTAGGTAATTATAAAAAAAAATGAAATGAAGAGAGACATAAAAATAGTAAAGCATAAAAAAATGGTTTCATGCTCTATAAATAACAAAAATGAAAATGAAAAAACAATGTCATAAAAATAATAGAGCATCATAAATTGTTTCATGCTTTTGTAATTTTAAAAAATAAAATAAAAATAAAAAACAGATACATGAAAGTAATAGAAAATAAAACACAAAAGACATAAAAATGAAAAACAAAGACTTAAAAATGAAAAGAGAAAAAAAACAGATACATCTCCAAACTTTTTCACTTAGTAACCTTATAAGATATAAAGTTGTGCGGTAATTAGAAAAAATGAAAGAAAGAAAATAGAATATATATATATATATATATATATATATATATATATATTATATATATATATACTCTTT